CACGCAAGACCCCTGCCCAGCTAACCACAATGCGAGACTACGAAATCCGGGGGTGAACAGGAACAAGGAAGAAGACCGGGAGGGGGAGGGACGGCGAGGCCGAGGACTCGCCTGTGGGCTCTTGCGTGTGTGCACTGGGGGCCAAGGTGCCTGGGGCTCCAGAGGACGATGCGCACCTCGAACGACGACGACGACGACGACGACGACGACGACGACGACGACGACGACGACGTGGGGGAGAACAGGGGAAACCAACAGACAGTCAGTATCGCTGCTCCCCGGACCCCCTTCCCTGGGTGCGCTCTGACCACACCGTCGAGGCGCGTCCAGCCGGGGCGACGAAGGCCTCCCGAGAGGCCCCCCCAAAAGTGCGAACACGAGGCGGGGGCGCGACTCGGCTTGCGGGCCCCACCTCGGGTCTCCGGCGGCCGCTCGGGACGCTCCGGGCACTCCCAGGATCGCCCCTCGGCGAGGCCGCAGAAGGCTGGAAGCCATCCCGGGGCTAGAAGACCTCCGAGAACCGACGAACATTGGCCCAACGAAAACGGCGTTGTCGTCGGTTCTCGGCGGTTTAGGGCTCGAGGCTCGAGGTGTTCGGGCGCTCTCGGAAACCAACACAACGTGGAAGCCTCGAACCATAGCACTCTGGAGGCGGGGCAGGGGTGTGGCATGAAGGGGCGTGGTGCCAATGCTGAATCTGGCGATGCTACCTGTCGTGGATACCATGTCCATGCCCACGACTGGCACCACATCCCTTCATGCCACACCCATTTTGCTTAGAATAATAAACTCGGTATCGCTAGGACGTCCATGTCCCGTGCATTTGTCGGTTTCGCGCGTGTTTTGTTTGCTCGATGGTACAGGATGGTCCTCGATGGTTCTCGCCGAGAAAAAATACACACGTCCGAGCGATGCCAAGCCTTTGCTTAGACGAAGAAAAACGAAATAACCATACTTTCGTTGGTGCTCCGCGCGGATTTTTGGACCTGCGCTGGACGCCCACCCTTTGGCGCGCGCAGCGCGCCAGGGGCGGCGCGGGAGGCACCGCCAGAAGGGGGTCCAGCGCGGATCCGAAAAATCCTTGCGGAGCGCCAGCCATTGATGTTCATGCCGTTTTTTCTTCAACGTTCCGACCCCCCGAATCAAGGAGGGAAGACGGGGTGCCGATAAACGCCATTCCGAGGCGAATCCAGCAGTGGCGACGAGGGCCTCCCAGGAGGCCCAGAGAAGGGGAAACAGGCGGAGGGTAGCGGTATGGGTACCTTTCCGTCGTCTGGTTTCCTACCTCAGAACCAACGTGGGAGGACGAAGGGAAGGAGGGGGAGGAGGAGCAGCAGCAGCAGGAGGAACAGTTGCACGAAAAGGAGGTGAAGAGGGAGGAGGAGGAGGAGAAGGAGGAGGGTGAAGGAGGAGGAGAAGGAGGAGGAGGAGGAGGAGGGGCAGAAGGAGGAGGAGGAGGGGGGAGGAGGAGGAACAGCAGCAGCAGCAGCAGGAAAAGAAAGAGGAGGAGGGGGAAGAGGAGGAGGAGGAGGAGGAGGAGGAGCAGCAGCAGCAGCAGCACGAAAAGGAGGAGGAGGAGGAGGAGGAGGAGGGTGAGGAGGAAAAGGAAGGTGGAGGTGGAGGAGGAAAAGGAGGAGGAGGACGAGGAGGAGGAGGAGGAGGAGAAGGAAAAGGAGGAAGAGAAGGAGGAGGAGGAGGAGGAGGAGGACGAGGAGGACGAGGAGGAGCCGGGAGGGCGCTGCCCCAGCAGCGCCGCCCCCAGCAGCGCCGCCCCCAGCGCGCAGCACCGCCACCGCCCGGCGGCCGGCCGCGCGAGGCCTCGCCTGGCGTCTTCGCGGCCGTCCTCGGGGGAGGGGGGCCTTTGCACCTCCTCCTCCTCCTTCTGCTCTTCCTCCTCCTCCTCCTCCTTCTCCCCCTCCTCCTCCTCCAAGCCCTCTTCGTCCCCCTTCCCCTCCGCCCCTCCTCCTCCTCCTCTGATTATTCTTCGTCTTCTTCGGATTGTTTTTACTATGATTATTATTATGCGTGTTCTTCTTATGCGTATTAATCATCTTCTTCGTATTATTATTACGATTCGTATTATTATTATAATTCATACCATTCGTCTTATTATTTTTTAATTATTATTGTTATTACTATTACTACTACTATTATTATGGTTATTAGTATTACTACTACTACTACTACTACTACTACTACTACTACTACTACTACTACTACTACTACTACTACTACTACTACTACTACTATAATTACTATAACTACTACTAGTATTATAGTTATTATTATTATTATTATTATTATTATTATAAGTATTATTATTATTCCTCTTCGTATTCTTCCTATTGTTATAACTCCTCTTCCTCCTCCTCCTCCTCCTCCTCCTCCCCTCCTCCCCTCCCCCTCCCCCTCTTCCTCCTCCTCCTCCTCCTCCTCCTCCTCCTCCTCCTCCTCCTCCTCCTCCTCCCTCCGCCTCCTCCTCCTGGCGGCGGACGCGGGTTCGCCCGTGCCGCCCGGGGCACAATGGTCGGGGGCCGCTCGGCGCTTCCGCCTCCCCTCTCACAAGGCGCGGCAAACCCGGGGGTGGCTGGTTGTTTCGGACCGCGGCCACTCCCAGGGTGGAGGGGTCGACCGGCCAAGGCCTATAGAGTCTGTTACATGGGAACGTAGCCAGCTCCGCGAAGAACGGGTAGCCCACGGAGGCCTCGCCCGGCAGCCGCGCGGCGCCCGCCGCCCAGCTGGCGCGCTGGCCCCGCTCGCCGGCCGCGCCGGGCGTGCGCAGCCCGGCCAGTGCCGCGTCAGCTTGGCGAGGGCCGCGCCGCCGAAGCCTCAGCGCACAGTCTGGCGCGTCGCTCGGGCGGGCCAGGGCCGCCGGGGCCCGCCAATCGCCGCGCTGCGCGGGTGGGCAAGGTGGCCGCGTGGCAGGCCTCCGCGCTGGCGCGCCGCAGCGCAGCGGCCAGGGTCTGCAGCGCCGCCGTCAGCGTCGCCGGGTCGCCTGCCGCCCAGCTCCTCCTCCTCCTCCTCCTCCTCCTCCTCCTCCTCCTCCTCCTCCTCCTCCTCCTTCTCCATTCCTTTTCCTTATATAGAACTGCTTCTTTTCGCACCCCGCAGCCAGTTTTCAGGGCGGGCCGGGCGTTTCGCCTGAGACTTCCTCACCACTTAGACTTTGAAACTTAAACAGTGGCATAAGTTTTCGCAGACGGAGGGCGGGTCGCTTGCAAAATGTGGCTCTCGCCCCAGCGCCGCGCACATTCGCTTCAACAGTTGCAAGAGCTTCACGGATTGAGGGCGGGTCGTTCTCAAAATGTAGCTCTCGCCATAGCGTCGCGCACATACGCTTTTCAAATTTGCAAGAGCTTCACGGAGTGAGGGCGGAACGTTCTCAAAATGTGGCCCTCGCCTTTGCACCGCGCACTTTCGCTGTTGTTAAAACTTGCAAGAACTTCACGGATTGAGGGCGGGTCCGTTTCAAAATGTGGCTCTCGCGTGCGCGCCGCGCACATTCGTTTTTTCTTCTTTAAAAAATCTTCACGGAATGAGGGCGGTTTCTTTTCAAATGTGGTTTTCGCCTTAGCGCGGTTTCACATGTTTGGGGTAAATGTTGCAAGACTCGCGCGGACTCCCATGATCAACGTTCCAGAAATGGCGTTTTGGAAGGATTCAGGAATATGCGGGCGCAGGAGTTATGTTGATTCGCGGTGCTGAGATCCCAAAAATGGCGTTCTGGCACGATTCTGGATCGTCCAGACGCAGCAGTCACGTTGATACGTGGGGTTGAAATCCCGAGAGCAATATGTTGGCACGCTTGAGGATCTTCAAAAAGTAGATAAACCGTTGTAGGGGCCTACGTAGAGGGAGCTTGGAGGGAGAGTTCATTCCAACATCGTTGATGACTCTTGGGTTTACACTGGTCCTCCTCCTCCTCCTCCTCTTCCTCCTCCTCCTAGTCCTCTGGTCGGCGCCATCGGCACGCTGCCGCGCGCGCGCGAACGCGTGGGGGACGGAGGAGGACCCAAACCCCCTCGGGTCAGGACAAAAATCACGACGGGATGTTTTTCGCTATATTCGGCCTCTGGGGGCCCTCACCGGGCCTCGGGGCCGTCAAAAAACGGCTCAGGATGAAAACACCGGTGCGAAACCAAAAGATCAACTCCCGAAATGATGGTGTGGGTGCCTTAAGGCCTTCTCCCACCCAGGCATGCCGCGAGACGCTCGGGGGACGAGGGCGCCGGCCACGTGGCATCTTGATGAGCCCCTCAGCCAGAGCGTCAACGGTCATGGATTCAACCATGATGGATACCGACTTCTTGAAAACAGACTTCTTGGGCCACAACTTTCAACAGCAGGCGGTCAGATGCTTGCCACGAGGTGTGCAGGCGCCCCGTGATGGTTCAAACAACTCTCGGGCCGCTGGCGATGCGAGGCGATGAACAACCGGTCCAGTGAGATGGGTCCGGGCCTCTTGGGGTCGCGTCATGAGAAATTTATGACGTTGGGGGTCTGGGGTTAGGTCGGGCGTGTCCTCCCACAGGCGGCTGTTTGGACGAACAATGAAAAATAATCCAAAAATACTTGAAGTGATCGACGTCAACCGACTATGAATTACTATTTTTGACAATTCCTCCTGTAGAGGGACAGGCCCGATTTAACGATAGGGGTGCGTTCGAATAGCCCCCACGGATTGTATCCTAAGGGTTTCGTCATTTCCTGAGCGGTTTCATTTTCATACCCCCTCAATCGGAGATTTCGGAGGGGAGGAGAATCTGCAACTGAGCTATTCGATTCATTTACCTCCTGGTTCATGTGTTCCATGCGTTTTGGTGTGCCGGAGGCCTCATGGCTTGGGGAGCTCCCACTGAAGCGGTGCATTTCTTTCTCCGCAGGGGCAAGCGTCTCGAAGAGCGCGGAGGCGGAGTAGCAAGTATCCGGCTCGAACTGCCCCTAAGTGGCCCGGTATGCAACGGCTTCCGCCTGGCGCGGGGGCAGGGTTTCAAATTTCCCTCCCAGGTTGGGGCCCTGCTCTGGCGTCGCGGTCTGGACCAGGACAGGCGAGGCACCGAAAGCCCGCCCGCCCATCCCTGTGCGCTCTGGTTCGATTTCGGTCGCCATGGTGGCGTCTGCATCCTCCTGGGGAGTGTGGAGCCGATGCGGGGGCGTCGCGCAAGGGGCTCTCTCGCCCGCCGCACCGGCAGCGTCTCGACCGCTGTCCCAACGTCGGCGCGCCTTCTCCACCAGAGGCGAGGGCAGTAGATCTTCGTCGTTGGGAGGAGAACTTAAAAGAAGAACCAACGGTTGACACTTAAACTTTTGGCGCGGAGCGCCAACAGTTCCTGCTCATGCTGTGTTTCCCTCTTTGATGGAAGGAGAAACATCGCCTGCGAGGGTACAGTCGGGCCGCTGAAAGAAGCAACGCTAGAGAAGGAACGAAGCCCCCCTTCCTGGCCCTGTAAGCGCCTCCCGTGGCCCGGGAGGGCAAGAGGAGCAGCACTGGAGGAACCTGCGGAACACCGGGCCCCCTCCGAACCCAAACCGTTCCTTATTTCAGCGTCTTGACTGTAAATGAGGAGGAGGAGGAGGAGGATGCAGAGGAGGAGGAGGAGGAGGAGGAGGAGGAGGAGGAGGACTGCACCTTATTTCAGCGTCTTGACTGTACCTGTCCCTCCCATCATCCCCCTATCCCTCCCACTGGGGCCCCGGGCTCCTCGCGGGCGGCCCTCGCGGGCGCCGCGAGCGGCATCGCCGCCGCCAGGGCCCCGTGGCCGGGGGGGCTCCCGGCCCCGCCCCAGCGCCCCGCGGAGCCGAGATGCTGCATCGTCCCTCTGCTGCTCCCCCTCCTCCTCCTCCTCCTCCTCCTCCTCCTCCTCCTCCTCCTCCTCCTCCTCCTCCTCCTCCTCCTCCTCCTTTCTCCTCCTCCTCCTCCTCCTCCTCCTCCTTCCCCTCCTCCTGCCCTTCCTCCTCCTCCTCCTCCTTTTCCTCTTCTTCCTCCTCCTCCTCCTCCTCTCCTCCTCCCTCCTCCTCCTCCTCCCTGGGCGCCCGAGTTATCCGGGGTAACTCGGGTCCGGGGTAACTCGGGTTGGGTTCCCGAAAAACGAACCCGAGTTATCCCTGACCCGAGTTACCCCTGATGATTCGGGGCTCTGGACGCCCGAGTTATCCGGGGTAACTCGGGTCCGGGGTAACTCGGGTTCGGATTCCCGAAAAACGAACCCGAGTTATCCCTGACCCGAGTTACCCCTGATGATTCGGGGCTCTGACTCCCCGTTGGGGTGCTGCTATGCAAGAGTAGACCATGGATTAAGCAACATGAAACGAACTCTAGCAGGACTAGGCCCGATGAAGCGGGAACAAACCAGATAAGCCGGATTTCGGACCAAGGCAAACTCAGAATTTGACCTGTCAGGAATTGCATCCGGACGCCCCTGCTCGTTACCCAATACACGTCGGTCAGAAGAAGCAGGTAGGACCATGAAATAGGAAGGCGCTGCAAGTGGATTGGCTTCTCGCTCACCCTTTGAAGAAGAGGGAAGGGGGAAAACTGCTCTACTCTTGAAGTAGGAAAGCGACTGAAACATATTGGTCTGGGAGTCGCAAAATACCTGCTTTCAACAACCGGCATGTACCGTTTACAAGCAGATGTTCCTATTAGGCTACAGTCGACCCCATCGAATCAAAGAAGCCGGGGGCGAGGAGGCAAAAAAGACTGGGCCGAACGAACAAGATGGGTACAGCCGGACCTGGGACAGAAAAACATCCTCTTCAAAAACACGAGACCCACGACCCGGCAAGACACGCAAAACATCCAACGGTATGCTCCCCCCGACGCACATGAACACCCAACAAACACGAAGCGCGGTAGGGCACCCTCCTCGAACCGACCCCGATGTTATACATCGGTCCGACTGTGTAGGTGGCGTTCGCGAATCAGCTCACGTAGCCGACTTCCCCGGCGGTTTCCCTGGCGCCATAGGCGCCAGTATCCGCCGGCCTCCTTGTGGGGCCACCAGGCTGTAGGACAAGGGTTTGCTGTTCCCTGCAGCAGTTCCAGCTTCCAGTTTCCACTGCTACAGTATTGTTTATGTTGCTTACTGTTCCCTGTTGTAGCACGCGCGAGAGGGGAGGCCGAAAATCAGCCTGGTTAGCGTCTCCTGGGAGGGGCCTCGGAATTTTTGCGGGGACCGAAATTGGCACACCTCATACAAATCGGCAAGGTCAGGGTCCAACAACCCATGGGATCTGCCACATTCCTGAAATCCAGCGGCACCCCTCACGCAAATCGGCGGAGTCAGGGTCGAAAAACCAATGAAATTTGCCACATTTCTGAAATCCGGCGGCGCCCCTCAAGCAAATCGGCTGGGTCAGGGTCGATAGACCCATGGGATTTGCCACATTTCTGAAATCCGGCGGCACCCCCCACGCAGATCAGCAGGGTCAGGGTCGAAAAACCGATGGGATTTGCCACATGTATGAAAGTTCGAAGGAAACCTCAAGGCGCAACATACGGGGGCAGGTTCAAAATGCAACACCGAATTCAACCGTATCATCATCAGATTAATTTATTCTGCCGATGCTGCTTCACGGCGGCGGCGAGGCCTCATGATTTAGCTCTTGCATAACCCATTATCCGAGAGAGGGGGCCGGCGGCAGGGGGCGAAGCCCTTTCGGATATCCAGGAAAGCGCCTGGTGGCGACGCCGAAGCCAGCTGCATGCAGCAGATTTCGTAATCCGAGCGACTCTTGTCCTGAACTCAGTGCTGCTGTGCCAGCTCGCAGTGTGCCGATAGCTGCTAGCAAAGCCCTCTGTGGGGCGTCTGAAACACATGGCTGCGGAGATCGGGAAGCACTGCTGCAATCCCGTTCGATACTTATCCTGAAGGGGAACGTAGGCAGGTAGCTAGGTCACTCTGCGGAACGCGGGTCTGCTTCGGGCAGGAGGCGACAGCGGCGCGTGCTCGCCAGCTGCCGCCCCCCAACGCGCTCGCCAAGAGGCGGCGCGCCCCTCCCAGAGGGTAACGAACGCGATGTGGTACAGCGTCCTGGCTCAGGGGGAAGAAACACCGACCTGGAACGATGGGCCCCTGATGGCGAATCTCCCAACGCTCCTGGGCGGGGTGGGGTTGTCGGGCCCCTGATCGGGCGTTGGCAGAACTGGGTTTAGTGCAACCTGGTTGAATGATCTGTGGTTACCCGGGGCGCCCCCCCGGTCCCATTTCCACTAACCGGAACTGCCGTCACCCGAAAAACACCAGTTACGGCAAACCTGGTTTAGTGAACCTGGCCAAGTGAGGGGCCCCAGGGCCCTTCCACTAACCGGGTCCCCTTACCCGGGGTCCTGGCTATACCCGACCTGCAGCGGCTTCGAAGCGTCGGTGCATCCCCCCGGAGCCCAGCCCCGCCTCCGGTGGCTCTCGGGCCTCAGTGCGGGCCTCCGGCGGCCGTTCGGAACGACCCGCGCAGCCGCAGGGCGCCCTCGGCGAGGCGCAGCCCCGGAACGCCTCCCGAGGCTGGACAGCCGACGAGAGACCGCGCAAACGTCCGAAAACATGACCTCGAACCTTCCGGATGCCATGACAGTGGACACCCATAGCACTCCTGTCGTTGAGTCGAGCATGTGTTGAATATGTTTCGAGAGTGTTATAGACATATGTAAATCATGTTTAAAAAAACATGTTTCAGACATCTGGAAATTACTTGGCAACATGCTTCCTCTCCATCGATCGTCCTCCACAACTCGAGTCTCCATCCCCCGACGTGGCCCCCGAGATTTCCCTTCGTCCGACCCGAGGGGAAGAAGGCACGATGACGCCCGCGCGCTCCCACGACGCGTGGCCGGAGACCCGCGCCGTCGCCGCCGCCGCGGCAGCGCGCACGCCTGCCCGGGGGAGGGGGGGGGGACAGGGAGGACGCATGAGGGATGGAGGGGGGAGCAGGGACCATCGGGTCGGGCGAAAGGGGGGGATAGCAAAGGGGGGGTTTGAGAATCAGCTCGCGTAGCTGATTTTCCCGGCGCCTCCCGGCGCCAGAGGCGGCCATGTATCGAGGAATGGGCCCCTCGGTGGGGCCGAAACCAGCTGCATGCAGCAGATTTTGTAACCCCCCCTTTCCCAATCCCCCCCTTTCGCCCGGCCCAAAGGGAGCAGGGGCGCAAACAGAAGGGGCTGTTCCACAAGAAACCTCCCACAAGAAACCCGACCCTGAGACCCCAGGACGTCTATCGATTTCTGGTGTGGGAACGTCACGCCTTCCACATCAAAACCACCGAAACCCGAGAAACCCAGGGCACCCTGGAGGCGAGCAGGGTGTTTCTTGGCATGGGTCCCCACTGTACCCCTGAAAGCTCAATTGAGCGACGATAAGAAACGGGTCTTGCGCGAGATGGCGCAGCGACCTTACGCGGTGACTTGCGCCGGCCGCCGGCGCGGCACGCCACATTTGAGACGAGGGCGCTCACGCGCGACCTTAGGTGGGCAGCTTACGCGCCGATGTCGGCGCGGACGAACCCGGTTCTTTACGTCGCCCAAGTGACAAAAACCTCAGGGAAGCTTATGTTGCTCCCATCGTCCTTAGCGGCCACATCCCAGAAATAATTTCGAGCACCCCGAAGAGTGTCAAAACAGTATCGAAACAGTATCGGGCGAGTGTCTCCCACGGCCCGACACGTGAAAACACTCGAGTTTTGATGCCTTTATGGTGCTCGAAATTCTTCCAAGGGATCGAGGCTAAAGGAGGTTGGAACATCATAAAGGGAAGCCACCCCTCTCTGCCGCGTGCCCTGTCTCTCTCTCTCTCTCTCTCTGTCCGACCACCCGCTCGAGCCCTCCGCTTCCAGCCGCTGGTCAAGCTCTGCCACCTCCATTTCCCCCATGCACCCCTTCTCACTGCCATCTCGTCTCCCATCCCGGCCCTTCATCTCCAGCCCGCTTGGGTGCATTCTTGGGACCTGATTGGAGCATCACGGGGCACTCCTTGAGTGGGGCTCTTTTGTACGCTCGTGATCTTAAATCCCCCTCCCCCATACCCATGTAGAAAAAACAGAGCATGCACAGACCCCCATCCCAGCCGGGCCCATTCTGGGTCCAAGATCGGTGCATACGGCAGGTCCGTGTCGTGTCGACCCCGGCGTTGGCGTCCGACAGCGCGGGGATCGTTCATCCTTGAACGATCGGCCATTCCCGAAATGTCAGGATCGTTCAACGTCAACGGATTCTGGGCCGCCGCCAGCGTTCAACGTTGAACGCCGGCGGCGGAGTCGCCGCCGCTGGACACGACACGAACCAACCGTATGCCCTCCTGGCTTAGGGAATCGTACCGATCCTGGGCACTCGATGGGCCTGGCAAGGATCGGTGTCTGCGGACAGCTCGCCATCGCTTGGACTTCCATTCCCCGTGCATGCTTCGACTTTGTGCGCGTATGTTTCCCCAAACGCACACGTCGAGGCGACGCCAAAACGACGCCCTCCGCCCGAAGACGTCGTCACCCGTCCTCCCCCCACCGAGCGGAACAGCGACCCCGGTCCGAACAGGAAAAACAATCCCCCCCACCTCCAACCAGGGAACCCTCGGCCCCGCGGGGCAACCTGCCTCACCGTGGGCCCTTGGTGGGGATGGGTGCTCCGTCGCCCTCGAACGTCTGGGCACCCATCCCCACCCGGAGGGGCAAGTACGCTGGGAGGGCCAACGTAGAATCGGACCCAGGCCAGGAGAACATCCTTCAAGAACGCGAGCCCTTCTGCCAGCCAAAACACACACACACAAAACAGCCCAAGGGCATCCACCCCAGGACGCAAAAGAGAAGTCAAACAAGCAGAAAA